TTGTACATATGTTGGCATCATCATTTACTAAACATTTACTTTCTATTCGAACCCTTGGTATCAGCTCCCCCCACAATCCCTTGATAAATTATAAATTATAATTATTTTAATATCTTACACTGACTGCTGTCTCTCTTCACTCATGTTTCTGTTGTTTTACTCCCTTGGGTCATGTGTCAATCACTGCCATCGGTTGCCCCATCCTCCCTGTCCCTTTCCCCTACCCTCCTGGTAACACTACTCCTATTTCTGTTGCTGAGGGGTTTAGCTGACCCAAATTCTATGTTTCATGAGCTCTTATCTCTTATCTGTACCTGTGTACATGCTCTGGTCTAGCCAGAACTGAAAGGCAGGACTGGGGTCATGAGAGTGGTGGGTGAGGGAGTCTCAAAGAACCAGAGGAATATTTTGTGTTTCATTCGTGCTATACTATGCCCTGGTTGGCTCATCCCTTCCTTGGACCCCTTTATGACGGGATGTCCTGTTGTCTACAGATGGGGTTTGGGTCTCTGCTCCATCCCCCCTTGTTCTCAACAATATGTTTTTTTGTTTGTGGTTTTCTGGCGCCTGTTACCTGATTCTGCTGATATCTCATGATCGCACAGGCTGGTGTGCTTCTTCTATGTGAGCTTGTTGCTTTTCTGCTAGATGGCTGCCTGTTTAACTTCAAGCTTTTAAGATCCCAGATGTTATATTATTTGATGGCTGTGCACCATCAGCTTTCTTCACATGGTTATACACCCATTTTGTCTTCAGTGATTCATTGATCGTGTCAGGAGGGTGAGCATCATAGAATGCCAAGTTGTTAGAACAAAATGTTCTTGAATTGAAGGAGGGCTTGAGCAGAGGCCCAAAGTCTGTCCACTTCCTCAATGAATTGCTATATAAATATATGTACATAGGCCAATACCTCTATTTTTATGAATTAATACATTTACATAAGTTCAATCTATGTTTATACCTCTATCCATAGTTTTGTTTCCTAGATCTTTCCTCTGCTAAACACATTTTAATAGATTCTTTGGGATTTTCTATATTTAAGATCATATCATCTATGAAGAGAGACAGCTTTACCTCTTAACTATATTTTTCTTTAAATGTTGGCTATGCCTACCACGACACGAATGCTGAAGACAAAGCGGGTGCATAAGCAAATGCAGTGAAGAAAGCTGATGGTGCCCAGCTGTCAAAATATATGGAATCTGGGGTCCCACAGGCTGGAAGATAAACAAGGGGCCATCTAACTGAGAAACAACAAAGCCCACGTGGAAGAAGCACACCAGCCTGTAAGATGACAAGGCATCGAAGGGATCAGGTATCAGGCATCAAAGACAAAAAAAATCATAGCATTGGCAGTGAGGGGGAGTGCAGAGTGGGGACCCAGGCCCCATCTGGGGGAAATTGGACATCCTCTTGCAGAAGGGCTGCAGGGAGGAGATGAGCCAATCAGAGTGCAGTGTAGCAATGATGAAATATACAATTTTCCTCTAGTTCTTAAATGTTTCCTCCCCCCCCACTACCATGATTCCAATTCTACCTTACATATCCGGCTGGACTGGAGGATGTACACTGGCACAGATAGGAACTGGAAACACAGGGAATCCAGGACAGATGAACCCCTCAGGACCAGTGGAGGGAAGGTGAGGGAGAAAGGGGGAACAGATGACAAGGTTTACATATAACCTCCTCCCTGGGGGACGGACAGTGGAGAAGTGGGTGAGGGAGACGCCGGATGGTGTAAGATATGATAAAATAATAATAATTTATAAATTATCAAGGGTTTAAGGGGGGAGCGGGAGGGAGGGGAAAATGAGGAGCTGACACCAAGGGCTCAAGTAGAAAGCAGGTGTTGTGAGAATGATGAAGTCAACATATGTACTAATGTGCTGGACACAAATGATGTATGTACGGATTGTGAAGAGTTGTATGAGTCCCTAATAAAATGATTATTAAAACAAAAACAAAAAAAAGTTGGCTATGGAAGAAAATAGTAAGGCAAGGAAAACGCAAGAGAATTTTTCATTAATCTTTACCAATTATGTATTACTAATATTTTCAAATTGATCTTTAACTACTCTTGTAGTTCACAAGGCTCTCAAAAGTGCGCATAAAACAATAACCAAGATCACAACACTGAATCAGCATACATATGAAAAACCTTACCATCAACTGCCACCAGTACAGCAGTCCGACCTCTTCTCTCATGCTCAATCATGGAATTATCTACATCACTATTAATGCCAAGGCCATTTCTAATCATCCACTCCCGGTTACCGATGAGAACTTTGTATTGCTGCGCATTAAGAGTCTCTGAAAAAAAAGCACAGAATATTTAGTGAGTTCATTTAATCTTTATAAAAACCCTATGAGGCAGTTCTTCCTAGCTAATCTTATATAGTTACTACATTTTTCCCTTAATTTCTTTTTTTTATTAGTTTGGATTTAATACATATAATATATCATTCCACATTTCAGTCGTGTCAAGTAGAATTGTACAACTGCTACCACAATCAGTTTCCAACTATTCTTTTTCTACATGAACTCCTTGACATCGTCTCCCTTTTACCTCCCCACCACCACTGTATTCCCCCTCCCCCCAAGACCCTTATTCTACGTGCTGTCCCTACGGATTCATCGATCCTGGGTTTCATATACCAAAAATCAGAAAACATATAATACAGCTTCAAGAGGGTGACCTCCATTGACATAACACCTCTGAGATACACTCTAACATGAATGAACAAATTAAATATAGGCTAAAACAGTCATTCTCAAACTTTCAAGGAATATATTATGCTCTTTCTTGACTCTAGGTCTTTGTAGTACACATTTCTACCATTACCCAGAATATCGGTACCCATCTTCACCAAGTAGCACAATCCCTCATATCCTTCAAGAGCCAGTTTAAATCATGCTTTCTTATAAAGCTTTCCCTTTGACTTTCTATAAAAATTCAATTAAATTCAATCTATTTATTGCATATCAGTAGCTTAGGGTTGCTGGGCAAAAACATACAACTTTGTTGATGAGATGTAATCAACTAATATGGCCCTTCTAGCCATAATCCTGTTTGTGATATATTACAAATTCTAGCTGTTATCCTTGTAGTTACAATCCCATGTTGGAGGGTGTTCTCTGTTCTACTAATGGACAGGATTAAAGTGATGTGTATTCTGAGTCTCTACCTTACTAGAAGGTGTGAACCAGGTTGCCTCCCATTGTTTCCTTGGGGGATATGGCCACCTGATGGACAAAAACCATACTTCCATCAAAACCATTCCTCTGTGTATATGAGAATTATCTCAGAAGAGAGCGGGAATTCCCAGGCCATCACAGAAGAAGAGCCACTAGCAGAGAATATGTAAGAGTCCTCCTTGCTTAAAGGGGCAGAGGCAGTAGAGGACATTGCCCACTGAGACCAGCGGTCAAGGCAAGAAGATGATGAGACAGAGCAAAGGGACAGTACCGAGACAATTAGAATGTGAGGCAGAGCAGCAGACAGGCTTCCTGTCTCATAGACACAGAAGCCAAAGGACCACATGGCTGAGTGGCTGAGACTCAGAGAGAGAGAGAGACTTGACTGCTGGCTGAAGAGAGGTACGGATACCTGGTTTTGATATCCTGTTAGCATTCCCAATTAACCCCCATAAGTGTCAGTATTGGCTAAAAGTTCTGTAGGGCTGTTGAAATGAACTACTGAACCCAGCAGAAAAGTAGAGTGTCATAGAAGGAATGGTTGGTGTCCGAACAGGGAACGGAGGGTGGAGGCATGTCTGACCTGTGCTTCGTAGCCTGGTAAAGGATTGGATTCTCTTGTGCAACCAAAAGCAATCAGATGTGGCACCAGTGCAATTCTTTTCCAGTTGATTTGTCTTATTTGAACCTGATGACTACTTACTTTAAATGGCCCTTAATAAATCTGACAAATCTACTATATTTCCCTAATCCATCCATTCTCTATTTCAAATATCTCCCATTAAAACCCCAATTTCTCCTCCTCCAGTCTCCTAACAGATGACTTGGCTTTCTACTTCAGAAAGGAAACCGAAGCAATCAGAAGAAAACTTCTAGAAGCTCTCATATTTATCCAACTGCCTGTGCCTGTGTCTGTATATTTCCTTCTGTTATTTCAAACTGCCCTTTCTACTATGTAGGGCCAACTTTTCTGTAGCTCCTCCTCCTTTTACCTATTCTAGAACATGAACATCCAACAATTCTCTCCTCTCTGTCTTGCACCCTGACATCTTCTTTCTTTAATAGACTATCTCTGTTGGTGTTGGGTACCAGTGAATTGGCTGCAACTCATAGAGCTCTTTTGTATAAAAGAGTGAAATAGTGCCTAGTTCTGCAGCAGCATCACAACTATTGGTATGTTCGAAAGCAGGGACTCAAGCAGACACTTATATACTAATTTTCATTCCACCTTTATTTGCACTAGCCCAAAAATTGAACCAACCCAGTGTCCATCAATTGGTGAATGGATTAACAAAATACGGTATTCACAAATAAGGGAATATTTAGCCACAAACAGAAATAAAGTTCTGATATACTCTACATCATGGATGAATCTTGAAAACATGCGAAATAAATCAGACACTAAGTGAGAAAAAAATCAGATACCAAAGGACAAATAATAGTAGAGAATCCTACTTACATAAAATATCTAGAATAGACACATTCCGAGAGATAAAAAGTAGACTGCAGGTTACAAGATAGGGAGTAGTGGAAAACAGGTATTATTTCTCATTGGGTAAAAAGTTTCTGATGGGGAGGGAGTCTGGATAATAGTGATGTTTATTCAACAATAACTGTACTTAGTCATTAAATTGGTAACATCTATATCTATACACATACAAATATATATCCAAATATTTTACAAAAGAAAAAACACCAACTAAATGGCAATACGTGCACACACACTTTTTATATGCTTATTGTGGTGATGTGACGTGGTGCAGCCTCCGAGAGGCTGCCACAATGACAGAAAGAATAAGCAGCAGCAAAGGGACGGAATCGAGAAAGGAAGGTCTCTGAGGGGTTAGGCAAGAGAAGATTTCAATGAAGTGATTCGTTGGGCAACATGATAGATACTTCTCCTTAATCATCCTGGGAAAACAACAACAACAGAATACAAGCCAGAAAACATTATTTTCCTCTGGTTCCTCAATGTTTCCTCCCCGCCCCCACTATCATGACACGAATTCAACCTTGCAAGTCTGGCTAGACCAGAGGCTGTACACTGGTACAGATAGGAACTGGAAGCACAGGGAACCCAGGGCGGATGATCCCTTCAGGACCAGTGGTGAGAGTGGTGATACTGGGAGGGTAGAGGGAGAGTGGGTTGGAAAGAGGGAACCGATTACAAGGAACTACATGTGACCTCCTCTCTGGGGGACGGACAACAGAAAAGTGGGTCAAGGGAGATGTCGGACTGGGCAAGATATGACAAAATAATAATTTATAAATTATCAAGGGCTCATGAGGGAAGGGGGAGCGGGGAGGGAGGGAAAAAATGAGGACCTAATGCCGGGGGCTTAAGTGGAGAGGAAATGTTTTGAGAATGATGAGGGCAATGAATGTACAAATGTGCTTTACACGCTTGATATATGTATGGATTTTGATAAGAGTTGTATGAGCCCCTAATAAAATGATTAAAAAAATAAGGTAATTAGCTAGGGACTCATAAAAAATTTGAAAGACCTAAAAGCTTTGGAGTAGCTGGGGTGAAAAATAGAATTGCTGAATAAAAATAGATCATCTAAGTGCTACACCTCATCACCCTGAGGTGGTATCCAGAAACACAGAGCCGTTCTACAGTAACCTGAAGAATATCTATGGTGGAGTTGAATTGAGGGAATAAAATCATGATGCCAATTTTTCTTTCTTATGTTCAGAATTATAAAGCTAGCCATCTGTCCAAAAGTTCCCCGTACTTGGTACTATAAAGAAAATGTACTTACTTGAAAGTTGGGTATCAATAATCATGGAAGGAGAATTTGATGTCTGTTCATTACTTGTATCAATTTGAACCAGGGATTCATTTTTAAAATTATTTTCTTCTGTCTTACAGCTTTTCTTTTGAAGCAAACCTTCGATATTGGTGACTTTACAGCTAATACCACAACCTGGCACAACCTGGAAATCTATGCAGGTACCCAAGGTTTCAGCGTCCAGCTCCTAACAAATAGAAACAAAAAGATTCCCTTTGTTCTAATTATTCCAAGGCCAACCATGAGCATGTTTCAAGATTCTAACACAAAATCAAACCCATTGCCTTCGAGTTGAAGACAACTCACAGCAATCCTCAAGGACGGAGTAGAGCGGTCCCACATTTGCCAAGGCTGTACATTTTTATGGAGGATGACCGTTACATCCTTCTCCTGGAGAGCAACTGGTGGTTTCAAACTGTTGAGATTTCGATTAGCAGCTTAGCATTTAACTAATATACTGCTGGCTTCCTTTAAACAAACCAAACTCACTGCAAGAGAGTCAATCCCAACTTAGAGTGACCTATGGGACAGGATGGAATTGTTCCCATGGGTTTCCCAGACGGTCACGTCATGGACGTAGGAAATCCCATCTTTCTCCCTCAGAGGGGCTGGTGGTTTCGAACTGCTGACTTTGTCAGCGTTTGCAAGTTTACCTGTATATTACATGACTATTTAATTAGTAGATTGAAGGATACACACGGTAAAATTTAGATGAGTATTACAATACCCGTATGGCAGCCCAACATGTAATCACTACGTCTACGTCCCCAGGGCTCAATCAAAATATTTAAAATAAAATCACATTTTGTACTTGACAGTGGAGTTTGATATGGATGAAGGAATAGTATTGAGTTCATATCCAGAATTACAAGACATGCTTCAGAATCTTTTATTTCTAATTCCAATCTCTAAAAATTTTAATGAGTTTGGGAAAGAAAACATAGGAAGTTTATCAGTATTTTCTGACTACTCCCATAAAGAATCATAAATTAAAACTTTAACTCTATATGTAGTTAAACCGGGTTTTCTATTCAGTACAGGAAAAAAGGGTAAGAGAGAGCAGATCCTTCAGTTATCAGCGTACTCTCTTGCATGATTCTGTGTCCTTGGTGAGCCACAGAATTCTGGTGACCATCAATGTTTCCTGCCTCTTTCTGTCATCATCCTATAAGTTGTTTGTTTTGGGTATAAAGAAGCCAATTCAATAATAGTGAATAGGTTAAAAAAAGAATTTAAAATGGTAATATTAATGGTAGAAATTGCCACATTTTCACTGTAAAATTAATGTGATATAATTTACAAAGAACTTAAATAAATGGAAAAAATTACAGACAACTCTATGGAAATGTTGGCAAAGAACACATGCAGACAGGTTAGAGAAAAAGATATGCAAATGGCCAAAAGACATATGAGATGGCCAATCTCATTTGCAAAAAAAGAAATACAAAGCCACCCGTTAATGAGTACAGTTTTCAAACTTTGAACTGGAAAAAATATAATACTGGCAACAGTGTGGGGAAGTGGGCATTGATAACTTTTGGTGGCTGTATACTGGTACAACCTTTCATGTAAGTAATATTTGCCATACGGGTATTGTAATATTCATCTAAATTTTACCGTAAGTATCCTTTAATTTACTAATTAAATAGTCATGTAATATACGGATAAACTTGCAAACGCTGACAAAAATGTTTACTGTAATAGCAAAACAAAACAAAACTCCAACCAATTATGCAATGAAATTAAGGCAGATCTGTATGTTTTGATATGGGAAAATACTTTAATAAGGTTTTTAAAAAATACCAAAAAGTGGTCACTGTATATGATCTTACTATGTAGAGTTTAAACAGTAATAAATAAATATTAGGGGGCTTCAATAAGTTTGTGGGAAAATTCCATTATCTTTTCATCCCCTTTCCTCACAAACTTTATGAAAATCCCTCATGTATATGTTGGCATACACATTAAAAACTGTTAACAGACATACAACTTTGTGAATATATCATTGTTATCGTTTGAGTGGGTTCTGACTCATAGTGACCCCATCTACAATAAAAAAGTCTCTATTAAATATATGAGGAAATATCCTACAGTAAATCTGGGCATATTAAAAACTATTAAATTGTATACTTTAAAAAGATTAACTTTACAGCACATTCATTACTTATTGATATAGCTGTTATTTTTTTTCCAATTAATAACTGTATTGCATAGTTCTCTGTTACCAGAGAAACAGTTGTGAAACTTTAAAGCAGCTGTTCTCAACCTATGGGTCGCAACCGCTTTGGGGGTCGAACGACCCTTTCACAGCAGTAGCCTAAGACCCTTGGAAAACACACATTTCCGATGGTCTTAAGAACTGAGACACCGCTCCTCTATGGTCTCCAAGTGGGTCCGCCCACATGCAGATATGCCCACAGACGAGGACCTGTCGTGAAGACTGATACCCATGCTACACCATGCTTCAAGACAACATTTCATTTAGTTGTCATTAGAAATAAATATTTCACAAGATATAATAACATATTGTTTTCGCGATGAATCACTATGCTTTAATTATATTCAATTTGTAACCATGAAAATGCATCCTGTATATCACATATTTACATTATGATTCATAATAGTACAAAATTACAGTTATGAAGAAGCAACAAAAATAATGTTATGGTTGGGGGGTCACCCCACATGAGGAACTGCATTAAAGGGTCGCCGCGGCATGAGGAATGTTGAGAACTACTTTAGAGAGAGGAATCATGAAAGTGAGAAATGAGTCTTTTACTTTACCTGATGTAATTCAAACCAATTTTCACTTTCTACATAAATATGTATTGATTCTACTATTGAATTTTTTGTCAACAGGAGTTGTCTATGTGATAGAATTATAATTGAGTTGCCTTCAGAAATCAATAGAGGCATGTCTTGTTTTATTGCATTTTTCTTTATTGCATTTTTTTTGGTAAATTTAATGTTTGCATCAACCCTGCATAGAACAAGTCTATTGGCATCATTTTTCCAACAGAATGTAATCACTTTGCATTTTTGTGCTACATTTTGGTAAATCTTACAATATTTCAAAGTTTTTCATAATGCTCATTTAATATACTACAAAATCAGGTAAATGTAACAGTTATATGCAGTAAGGAGCCAAAAAGTTCATGTGACTCACTTTACTGTGATAGTCACTTTATTGCAGTGGTTGGGCTCAAACCCGCATTATCTCCAAGGCATGCCTGTACATTTCTGTATGAAGAAACTATGTTATAAAATTCAGTGAGTGAGAAAATACAAGTCTCTCTAGCTTCATACCAACTATACATAAGTCTGAGTCCCACAAGTCTAGGTTTCTACTTTTTTAAAATTAAAAGATCATTTTATTGGGGGCTCTTGCAGCTCATAACAATCCATACAGTTGTATCAAGCATATTTGTACATATGTTGCCATCATTTTCTAAACATTTACTTCCTATTGAGCCCTTGGTATCAGCTCCTTTGTTCACTTCCTTACCCCCTCCATCCTCGTGACCCCTTTGATAAATTATAAATTATTCTTTTCATATCTTACACCGACCACTGTCTCACTTCCCCCATGGTTTCTGTTGTTCGCCCCCTGGGGTGGTTATGTGTTAGTCATTGTGATCGGTTCCCTCTTCCTCCCCACCTCTCCCCACCTTCCCCCTCCCCTCCTGGTATTGCTACTCCCATTCCTGTTCCTGGATTCCGTGTGTCCTAATCTCTTAGCTCTTAGCTGTACCTGTGTACATGCTCCCGTCTAGCCCACAGTGAAAGGCAGGACTGGGGTCATGATAGTGGGGGGTGAGGAACCCTCGAGGAACCAGAAGAATATTGTGTGTTTCATTGGTGCTATACTGCGCCTGGCTGACTCACCCCTTTCCGGTGACTCCTCTGTGAGGGATGTCCCATTGTCTACAGATGAGTTTTGGGTCTCTGCTCCAATCCCCCTCGTTCTCAACAATGTGGTTTTTTACTTTTAAAAAATAATATTTTATTGCATTTTCAATAAAGGCTTACATGTAGTTTAGGCTCCCATTTAACAATTTCTGTGTAAGTTGTTCAGTGACAATGGTTTATCTTCTTCACAATGTGTGAATATTCTCATTAATTCTGTTCTGGTTGTTCTAGTCCCATTAATCTAGTTGCCCTGCTACCTTACACTCTCATCTATGTTTGAAATTATTGTTGATGGTTTGGTCTCATCTAAGTGACTTTTTTTAGAGTAATACAGTACTTACGGGGGATATTGATTATTTTCTTGCATTAATTTGTTCTTTAGCTACAAAGTGACTGCAGAAGTTAGTTTTAGTTCAAAGTTTGAAAAGTAACTCAGGACAACCGTCCTACCAGGGAGTCCCCAGTCTTAACCGATCCAGTAGGTCTGAACTGGTGTTGTTGCTTTTTAATTTTAGGTTTTGTTCCACATTTTTCATCTATTCTATCAAGATCCATCTATTGCCCTGTACAAATGGCTTTCTATTTTTTATACTTGGATTTTATCTTTGGATAATTCCTATAAAAGATAAATAAACAAGGAGTGGAGAAGGGGGGGCGGCAAAACACTGTACCTGCTTGCAGTACTTGGTGACTGCTGCTCCTAAAGGATGTTCACTGTTACTTTCAGCAGTTCCTACAATGGCCAAGATCTTACTGCGTGATATTCTGTTACTTTCCACTAGCACCTTTACTTGATTCACTACTGGAGTTCCATGGGTAATGGTTCCAGTCTTATCAAACACCACTACCTTTACCTGTAAGAAGATTAAAAGACAGTACACCATATGACTTGATAATCCTTAGCATTATCTTCCCAGAAATGTGACAAACAGATTACTACTGATCCATTAACTATCTTTGCGGGGGAAAGGAAGGGATAATCAGGAAAGAAATAGTTAGCTATTAATCTAATAGCCTCATTTGCAAACATTCCACAATTATTTGTTGTGAGGGGTTGTCCAGTCTCTTCTCTTCGTGGCGCTACAGGACAGTGTAGAATTGCCTGTGTGGGTATTGAGACTGTACCTCTTGATAGGAGTAGAAAGCTTAGTCTTTCTCCCACAGAGCAGTTTGTGATTTCAAACTGATATTTAATCATCTTAAATGATCGTGGGTATATGCTAAACAGGACTAACTGCTGAGGGTTGACTGTGAATAAGTAATTAAGAGATGCCTCTCATGCTTCCCAGGGAAAATAGGCTGTCAATACCAATGAATTCAAAATAACTTGGGGGAAACTGGGAAGTAGGCAGAAACAACTAAGGAATTAAAATGGAAGTGGGCACCAAATAAAACCTGCTGGGTTACTTTGGCTATATTGGGTTCAGATTCGGGTGAGGAGAGAAGACAGCTCAAGGAATCAATGAGGGAAAGAGCCCAGACAAGAAAAAGAAAAGAGTCCGGAATTCGATAACATCTTAGGAAACTTGGAAATATGAACCCTGAAAAATGAATCCACCAAGGAACCAAGATGAAAGGCAGGTGACAACTAAGTGCAAAACCTGGTTGTGGACAGGAGGAAAGCTAGTACAGGGGCTACGATTGAAAGAACTGAGGAAAACGAAACAATGTGTTCTAGATATTATTATACCAATATTAAGTTCTTGATTCATATCATTATACTGTGGTTATGTAGGAGAATATTCTAAGAAACACACATTAAACTACTTTAAAAGTAAAGTGTTTGATATCTGGAATCTATTTTTAAATCAGAAAGTGTGTGTGTGTGTGTGTGTGTGTGTGTGTGTGTGTGTCGCAAGGGAGAGAAAGGTGAGTGAGAAAAGAAATAGCATAAGATGAAAATAATTGAGGAATCCAAGTAAAGTGTACACAGGAGTTCTCTGTACTTCTTGTAATGCTTACGTTTGAAATTTTAACAAAATTTAAAATTACTATAAAATTAATAGCCTGAATTCACTGTTTAGGTGAAGTTTCAAATTTGTTCTAAGCTGGGCTCTGTTTCCTGTATACATCTGAATATAGATTAGGGATCATCCTGGTAGAAATACGGTTTTAGTTGAAATCAAATAGCCTTGTTTGAAATTATTATGAAAATCCTGAGAGAGACCTGTGATAATTCTAAACTGCCAGCTGATGGCAGCAAAGGCAAAGAAGATGAAATGTAATTACAACTGCTCTCTTTGGAAAAATACAAACATGTAATCAAACACAAGTAGGTAAGAAACATGATAAAATTTGGCGAAATTTCCAGAGCAAATATCTACTCCATCTTCTTGCTCTAATGAGTGATCTAGTTTGAGATGGGCTAGGACTCCAGCCTTCTGTCACCAAGATCTGCTCTAAGATAGTAGGATGGGAAAACAGTCCTGGAGCTCGTAAATAACTAAGGCCAATCTGGAATAGAATCAAAATAAAACCGCCCTTAGGATAATCCTAGAAGAGGCTCGTTTTATGAACCATATGTAATTTGGACATTGCTAGTGCAGAAAGGACAATTCTTTATTCTTGGTCTTACCTTATGAGCCATCTCCAGAGGTTCTCCACCTTTGATCAATATGCCATTTTGAGCACCAACTCCTGTACCCACCATCACAGCAGTTGGAGTGGCCAGACCCAGCGAGCAGGGGCATGCAATGCACAGAACTGTGATAGAGGCTTGAAAAGCAAAGCGGATTATCGTTTCCACTTGGGAGATACTTCTATTATAGTCCTTTAGAAGAAAGGCATATATTTTGGTTATTGATTTAGAATAGTACAAAATGAACAACGCTTAACTTTTTTTACATAAACTCACAATTTTGAAGTCATTTATATCCTATCAAGCTACCAACATACTATTTTCGTGACTAGTAAGAAAAACACTTTTTCTTTTATATGTAAGAAGTTATGACACAGCTGACAAATAAAATCTTAAAAATCAAGATTTTTTAAAAAAGTCTTAAAAATCAAGATCCATTTTGTGATGATTCCGCAATGAACCTTTTTTTTGTTCTATACTGAGAATAAGTGTTTTCATTAGAGGCTTTCAGGAATCACTAAAAACATGTAACATGGTTCTCAGCAGATATAATCCTGAACAGATAGTAGGGTTCTATAGCCCTCTATACAAAGATAAAAAAATCAGCCTTTTAGACTAGGTGGAACTATGAGCCTGTAAGACAGTGAGACAGAGCTGAGACGATGGGACTGTGAGACAGAGCAGCAGGCAGGCTTCCAGGCCCATGGATGCAAGGCCAAGGAATCACATGGCTTCTGGAAAAGGTGAGGACTGAGGGATACTTGAGTGCTGGCGGAGGAGATGCTAGCCTTAAAGCTATCTGATCCTGGCTTGGGGTAACCTGTCAACTTTCCTAATAAATCCCCTTAATCATGACTATTGGCTGTGAGTTGTACGTAGCTATTGCAAGGAACTAATGAACCCAGCATTGTAGTGTCATGGGAAGATGGGGTGATGTTAGAATAAATAAAAAAGGATGGACCATAGAGGCTTATCTAACCCGTCTTGTGGCCAGAGGAAGCCAGATGTGGCCCTCCACTGTCATTTATTGCACTTACTAAGTTCTCAATGTTCACGGTAGACCTATATTTTATATAGAAAAAGAGGTGGAAGGGATTTTCATATTTAGTTTTATGCTTTCGTGTCATATATATCCTTTGTGTATATTTTCAAGTATGTTGTATGCCTTTATCTACACTAGCTCCAATCCTATAACTTAAACCTAATCAAACTCACTGCCTTAGAGTTGATGCTAACTCATAGTGATTCTACAGGGCAGGGTAGAACTGCCCCAGTGGGCTTCTGAGACTATAACTGCCTACAGAAGTAGTAAGCCCCATCTTTATCTCTCAGAGCAGGCTGCTGGTTTCAAACTGCCGACCTTGCGTATGGCAGCCCAATGCGTAACCACTGTGCCACCTCGGCTCCTAATCCTGTAATTTAAGTATTACCGTACATACTCAAATATAAGCCAACCCAAATATCAGCCAAGGTACCTAATTTTTCCACAAAAAGTGCATTAAACATATGCTGAGAAACTTGGCTTATACATGAGTATATACAGTATTATCCCTATTTTAAAGATGAGAAACCTACGGTTAAGAGTACTTAAAGGCAATAATCTAGTAGTTCACTTTTATGACCTCATATTTTTAGAGATCATCACAGAACTAAATGAGTAATCAATAATACTATAATTTTTGTAATGCATTTAATAAATTGCAGTGTTTATACTAAAGGAGCCCTGGTGGTGTAGTGGTTTACATGTTGGGCCACAATACACATGGTCAGCAGTTTGAAACCACCAGCAGCTCCATAGGACAAAGACTGGGCCTTCTACTCCCATAAATGGTTATCGTCTCAGAAACCCACAGAGGGCCACTATGAATCAGCAATGACTTAATGGCAGTGAGTGAGTTTCTAATATTGCCTAACTTAACACTCACAACTATGGGTTATACAGAATGAGTGTTATTGAAACCGCATTTTGCAGATGAAGAAAATGAGCGTAAGAGAGAAATTAAGAGCACACTGATATCAAGGGGCAGAATCAAGGTCCTGAGGTCTCCCTCAGAATATCTTTTAGTTCATTAGGAAGGCAAAATCACGCTGGACATAAGGGTAAGCATAACATGTAAAAGTGTCACTTGTTTTTTGAAAATCGTAAATCTTTCCAAAAGGAAACGTTATATTTTCATAATGCAGATGTTATCCTTAGCGGCCAACCACTCCAGCCCCTTTAATATACAGGAAATTATTGAATTCATTTGTGACTTAGTTAATGATGCAAGAGTCACAGAGTCTTTCACAGATTGTCTTACAAGTAACTTACAGGAAAGTAGGTTTCCACAATTTCAAAATTAAGAAATCCAATCATAATCCATACCAAGAGGGTAACAATGGAAACAATAACAATAAAAGGAACAAAGTAGCCACTGAGTTTGTCTGCAAACTGCTGGATAGGAGCCTAGAATTAAAAAAAAAAAAGTATGTCAAAAGCAAATATAAAAATCAGATCAAGATTTATGTGGACACTTTAAAGAACTCCTTATACGATTTCACCTTTGAAGTTTGGGCCTCCTCCACAAGTTTGACGATCTGTGAAAGGGTTGTATCTGCTCCAACATGAGTTGCTCGGATCAGTAGTGATCCATTCTGGTTGATGGAACCAGCAATTACTGAACTGCCAGATTTCTTAGCTACAGGCATTGCCTCCCCTGTATGCGAAGTAATGATAGATTTAGGTCACATAAATGAACACAATCACAAACATATTGTTATTTCTTAGCTGCCACAAAAATTTTAGAAAGGAGGTTGGTAATTCGTGAAATACAACCTGGACAAATGACTAAGTAAAAGTCACCGTCTCTTTTCCCTTAAGTCAGTTCTAGGACAAAACCAAGAATTCCTATCTTCCATTGGAAAAGCCTAACATGTTAACCCTAATGGGAGATGCTATTTTAAGGTAGTCAGTCACCTTAGACCTAGATCATAGGTTCTTAATCTGTTTCCAAGGAGCATTTGGAAATGTGGAAGGAAGTTTTGTTTATAAAAATTAGTAGGGGGACATGGGAGAGCGCTAGTGGAAGTTAGTGGGCCAGGGTCATGGATATGAAATGTACTTCAATGTGTAACATAGTACTCCAGAATTAAGAATCGTCCTGTCCAAACTAGCAATAGTACACTGATTGAGAGACAGTGTCCTAAATGGCCCCTAAAAAGAGCTTCTTCTGGCATTATATACTGAGGGTAAAAGTAGGAAAGGTATTATTTTGATTCTGCTCCAGATTTGTCTTAGTTCCCTAAAATCTCTACATCTACTCCAGGTCCATTTCCTTAGAGCAGACTGTTGAGAGAGGCCTAGAATCCTAGCCCAACTCAGACTAAACTAATCTGTAGTCCAGCAGACAGAAGAGGGCTTGGAGACAGGGGACCCTGGCTGCCAGAAAACAAGTGCAGGAAGATCTCCTCAGCATCGACCAGGAGGGAGGCCTGCACTTCCCGGGAGTGAGAATGTCCACTTAAAGGCTGAAGAATAGTAAAATAGAAATGGACCTTCCGTCTTTAGTAACAAACAAGTTCATCTCAAAAAAAAAAAAAAAAGGGAAAAGAAACAAAGCTAAGTAGGCTCAGGTTTCTTAAAATGAGAGGGCAACGAGGCCTGCTGAGAGATCCCCCTTTACCACTGGCCAGTAGCAGGAGTCGCTTCTGTGACCCCAACTCCCCCCTAGCACAGTCATTTCCCCATCCCTTGACGCAACCCAGGCAGCCAAAGTTCTTATCTCGTGGACTCGGGTGGCCCTAGCGGACAGCAGTTCATGTGGGCAGCTTAGTGCAGACATAATCAGTACCCAAGCTCCACTTATCGGCCCTGTTTGCCCCTTCTTCCTTCCTTACTGCTTTGTTCACTGGTTCCCTCCCCACCCCTCGTGGCCCACCTCCCCCACATAGCATACACATATACTCAATAACACTACCAAGGAGCAAGAATTCCCAAAGCAGTTTTAGTTTTTGCTTTACTTTATTTTCTTCAGTTATTGTACTTTTTTCTATTATATTTATGTATTTTTATTTCTAGTCCTCTCCCACTTCCCCTTCCACTGTGACTCCAACCTCCGCCCACCCCCCAAGGTAAAAACAGGCAGGCCTGCAGATTCTAGGACATCCATCCAAACAAGAGCTTCATCCCATCCCCACCCCCAGGGCACAGACTCGCCTACATTCATGCTGCCATAGCAACAAAACTTCAGTACCCACACCAAAGCCATACCTGAATCTTTTTTTCTCTTTTGCGTCTCCTTTTCCCTGCACGTCTACCATTATCTATTTTTGCTCTTTATCTTTTTCCTTGTGAAATATATTTCCATGAAACTTATTCATGCTGATTGCTCCTCTTAAAATACACTTTACCATTATTTTACAAATCTCTTGATCTATCCAAACAGCTGCTTATTACTATCATTAGTTTTACTTTATAGTCTCTCTTTTCCCCTTTTCCCTGCCTACTTTCTCCACATACCCATCTCTCTCCCCTTTTCTCCATTTCTAACTCATGTTCAACCTCTCCCATGTCATTAGACAGAGCCAACTATCTCTCCAAGACTCAGCAGCTCACACACCACTAATAGTTGAACCATCATGCCAGGGAAATAGTAGTCAACCATAGTAAACAAAGAACAAAAATAAAAACAAACACAAACTACTGGAATTTATGCAAGAAAAACAATGGAGTATTCTGAAGAAGACGACCCAAAACTACCAAAAACTGAATTCAGGAATGATGGTTAGGCCCTAGAACAAGAAGACAGACATTGATATAATACAATAAGGAAAACAATAGAAGAAAAGTAGAGGGCCCCAGAGCAAGAAGACACACACAAAAATCTACTAGAGAAAATAGTCTGAGGAAAGCACAGAAGAAAATTTCTCCATTATCACAAAGGAAACAGAGAAAATAACTACTCAAGAAGCTGAGAGAACCCCTAATAGGACAGATCCCCAAAGGAAAAAAGATCAAGACATATCAATAGTCAAATTGACCAATTTCAAGGAAGAGAATCCTGAGAGAACAGGAAAAAATAAGTCACCTATAAAGAAAAACCAATAGAGAGAAGCTCGGATTTCTCAGCAGAAACTTTGCAGACAAGAAGACAATGGAGTGGCATATATAAAATTCTGAGAAAATAACAAACAGACAAAACCCCCCAAAACCTGCCAACCAAGAATCTTACATAAAGGCAAAAGTTATCCCTCATATATTAGGGACACAATTTTTAAATGGGTCTAAAGGGAGATCAAATGGTAAGGTATTACATTTTAACCTGGCTACATCTTCCATCATTGCCTTTGCAATGCTCGCTATCTGATAGCAACGCTATTCACATCCCTGGACAATGGTCAGAGGGAATTCACCAGAGGTTTCATCCATGAGGGGACCCTGCAAATGGATACTGGGCTGCCATTGTCATCCATAGCTTTCTCCAAACCCAGTGTTCACAATTTAAACTCTGATACCATCTACTCCCTCCGATATGGATTTTTATCGTTTCCTATCCTTGGATCACACAAGCTGGTGCACTTCTTCCATGTGGACCTATTTGATGCCTCACTCAGATGGCTACTTGTTTGAAGACAAGCCGTTAAGATCCCAGACTTTTTTTCCATCTGGTTTCTTCACCACACTTTGCTATATTTATTGGCATATAATTCACATATTATTACAATTAAATCATTTAAAAAATTTAGATCATCTCCACAATCAATTTTAGAACGTTTTCTTCTTTCTTGCACTCATTGTCATCGGCTCCCCACTTCCCCCAGGCTCCCCTGCCATCCACTCCAAGAAGCCATCAATGCTGTCGCTGTCTCTATAGCTTTCCCTGTCCTGGATTTCATACATACAGAAACATAGAAACAAACAAACAAAAGACCCAACAATACTACCAAAGTGAAGCAAAGAAAACCTCAAGAGAAAAGAAAGCAGAAAAATATTAAAAACTAGAGTATATTTAAAATGGATCAGCAAGGGAGATCATATGACAAAGTATTCTCTTTTTTTTAACCTAGTAGCAGCTACAGTAATCTGCTTTCCATTGCACTCCACATAATAACAAGCCTATTCACATCCCTGCTCTGCGGTCAGAGGGAATTCAGCACAGCTTGATTCATGTGTGGACCCTGCAAATGGTTTTGGCTTCCACTGTCATCCATAGCTTTTTGCAAACTGACTGTTCACAATTTAAGCCCGGATACGATTCCCTCCTTTGGTTTAATTGGTGGATTTGATCCTCTTCTGTGTGTTTGTGAGTGCCGCTTTCACTGTATTGGTTTCTGGGTGGTGTTGTCCTGTCTGATGCTCTCAGGTTTGTCTGCTGTTGTTGAGTCTCGGTCCATAGTGATATGGTTCAGATTCTGTCATGCTGGTCTCATTTTCACAAATTCCTTCATTATTTTTAGCCTTGCTATCAGACACAGAGCATTGCAAAGGCAATTATGACAGATGTAGTTAGGTTAAAATGAAATACCTTATCATTTGCTCCCCCCTTTGACCCATTTAAAAATTGTCTCTGTTTTTAGTATTTTCTGCTTTTTTTGTTGAGATTTTTCTGTTTTTTCTAGTCGTCGTTGTTGGATTTGCTTGGTTGCTTCTTGTTTGTGTTTTATATGATATTTTGTATATGAAATCTAGGCGAGGTATAACTATAGAGACAATAACTAGATTGATAATTGCTTAGGACAGTGGTAGTCAACATGACCCCTTTGGGGGTCAAACGATCCTTTCACAGGGGTCGCCCAATTCATAACAGTTGCAAAATTACAGTTATGAAGTAGCAACAAAAATAATTTTATGGTTAGGGCGTCACCACACCACGAGGTACTGTATTAAAGGGTCACGGCATTAGGAAGATTGAGAACCACTGGGGCATGGCAGGGGAGGATTGGGGAAAATAGGGAGCTAACAACAGTGAGTACAAGGAGAAAATGTTCTGAAATTGATTGTGATGACTGTACAAATGTTAATATCATTGAATGATTAAAATGTATGATAACGTGAAGTATATGCCAATAAGACTAATTTTTTAAAAAGAAGACAGACTAGGTATTTGCTCAGGAATATTTTCCAAAGTCTATCAGGTTCTACAACAGACTGAAATGTAACAAATCTCAAGGAAAGGCCCTTCAACAGCATAAGCATAAAGCACAAGTTAAATCTAAGGATATCCGTCTGATATAGCCTTTAGAAAATTCATGCTCGCTAACTGCTCATCATTTACAGTTTTTTCAAAAAGCTCTGCACTTTTTATTAATAATCATTCAATGATTTTTTGTTAACAAATGGAATGCATTTGTTTTGTACTTCTATGTCATGATTCTTCTGAAAGAACATACCTGTGATAAGGGACTCATCTACCATAGAATATCCTTCAATAACACGGCCATCCACTGGAAATTTGCCCCCTGGAACCACTTTAACGATGTCTCCACGTTGTACAAGTTCCACATCCACTTGCTCTTCACTAGAAATAAATTAACATGAAACACATATAGCACCTTAATTACTACCAAGAGAAGCTACAATCAGCATTTAAGCTAAGACTATGTTTATCCCGTTCACTGCTGGTGACCAGCACAGTACCTGACACAAAGTTGTTGGTGGTGGTGGTTATTGGTTGACACCAAGTCATCCATCCCCCCCACTCATGGTCATCCATGCACAAAAGAACAACACACTGCCCAAACTAATCAGGGCATTATGATCTGTAGGGTTTTCATCGATTGATGTTTTGAAATAGACTGCCAGGCTTCACTTCCTGTTGGTCTTAAGTCTGGTAGCATCATTAAAACCTGTTCAGCATCAAAGCAACATGCAAATCCCCAGTGACAGAGAGGCAGTTAGCTACATTTGGGGTACACCGGACAGGAATGGAAGCAGGGTTTCCTGCATGCAATGTGAGAATTCTACCACTGAGCCACCAATGCCTCAAGATACAAAGCAGGAACTCTCTATTTGTTAAATAATGTGCAGTGGGTTTTATTTAAACCAAACAATTTATTTTTTGTGTAAGTTTTCTTAAGATGTTTGGATGGTGCCTCAAAAAAAAAGGCTATCTGCTTCCATAGAGATTACAGTCAAGAAAACAATAAAGAACAATTTTGCTCTATAATACACAGGTTCAGGATGAGCCAGAATTAACACAATAGCTCAGGTCTGAGCTTTAGTTTTTTAATTTATGTACATAATTTTATTAATATAAAAATGAGAACTTTACCAAAGAACTAAATCTAACAGAGCATTTAGCTCTAACTTCCAGGCTACAGGTAATACAAGAAAACAAATTATATGGCACCACAATGCGGCATGGAAACATATTCAAACTGTGGGACATTCGACAGGACTACTGATAGATGTTTCTAGATGAATCAATTACATGGAGAAAAAAGCAGAGAGAGGAATTCTGTTCTAAATTGCAAAAGACATAGGGGGCATGAAAAGCAAATGCACACAAACCTTTTTTTTAAAATTCTATTACAAACAAAGAGACTTTTTGAAGTATTTTGGAGACAACTAGAGGAATGTGAATATGGACTGGTCACTAGATATTAAGGAATTATTGTTAATTATGTTAGGTGTGATGTTCTATTAATGTTACATATGAATATGTCATAATTTGCATTAAAATCCTGTACTAGCTATAGGAAGAGAGTAAAATACTTAAAGTAAGTGTAGCAAAATGCGGATAATTGGTGAATCTAGGAGATAGATGACAGTGGACTTATTATACTCTTATCTCTACTTCTTTGGGCATTTGAACATTTACATCAGAAGTTCAATGAGGAGGGGATAGAATGAAGACAAATACCTCAGGAAGATATTATCTGAGTCAAGGGTTACAATAGTTGCTTCTGTAGCTTGTAGTGAAATTAGCTTTGCAAGAGCCTCTGATGTTTTTCCCTACAAATTAAAACAAACATGTTCACAATGCTAAGGAAGAAAAAGTTCTGGTCTTAACTACAATATTAGATCTTTAGCATTTACCAAAAATATGGCATTAAAAATGTTCATCTGTTCAAGCCAGAAAATTTTCACTTAAAAAGTATGAACTATACAAAATGTTTCAAAGTTTTCATAGGTACCATTATAAAAATAAATTAATAAGAAAAATAGTAGGAACTCAATTTTTACATGGGCAAAGTACATGAAAAGGCTATTCATTTAAGAGGAAATATAAATACCCAACATGGTAAAATATTTATTCCTGCAATTCATAGAAGAAATGCAAAACAATGCAGCCCTAAAATACTGTACAATAGCTACTAACGTGGGAAGAATTTAGACGACTTAATGCCGATGAAGTTGTAGTTAAATGAATGCAATGTAAAATTGTTACAACATATAGCATGAACCATAGAAAGATTTATGTCCTTTAATTCAGTAGTCACATCCTGTGTGATTGATCATAAAATACTAGTTAAAAAAATTTTTTTTAAAAATACTAGTTCAAGACCAATGACTATAATACATGAGCATATTTCATGCAGGATTGTTTAAAGTAAATAATTAGAGAACAAAACCAGAAGGGTTTAGTAAACTACACAACACTGACAGAACATAAGTCAAAAATATCAAATAATGATATAAACTGAATACACATGGGAGAACGTTAGTGTTAATGGTAAAGAGTAGTACATATTCCATGTTTGCAACTCTAAAAAATAAAGGCATGCAGAACAAGATTAGAAACTAATTTATATTATAGCATGGGACCATGTCTGAATTTATTCATCATTATTTTAAACCTTGTTGTCATATCAGTTTTGAATTAATAATGTCATATGAGATACTTTACAGGTATTTTTCAAATGCCTCTCTCTTAAAATAGAAATAAACAAACTTTATTTGACCAGTATTCCATAAATTTGATACATCTTCAAAAAGAATATTTAAGAAAAACAGTTCTAAAACAAAAATACTACTTTCATTAAATGGCTGACTACATAAACAAATGTGCATTTCCAATAAACAGAAGTCACATGGTCATTTATTCACCCAAGATTTAAATAAATGTCATCTTTCTGACTTTACCTTTGCTATATGTTCCAGCCATCGCCCCAGAGCAATAAATACAAACAGCATAGGAGGCGTGTCAAAGAAAGTAATAGGGTTCATGTTGGCTCTCTCATACATTGCAACCAGAAGAATAACCAAAGAGTAGGCAAATGCAATGGTGGTTGCCAACACAATCAGTACATCCATATTTGCAGTCCTATGCTTCAGTGCTTTGTAAGCCTGAATGTAGAAGTACCAGCCTCCGAAAAACTGCAACATAGGAACAAGAATCATTGAAATTCTTAAATGGTGACATTTGCATATACACGTCAATAACTATGATAAAGTAACAGTATTAATTTTCTTTGATTTTTATGTAAGTCATACACACTAATGAGAGATCTTTAAGCTGGAATAATACTGTTTGCATTTGAACATTATCTGTGTGTGCGCAGAGGGAAAGATTCAGATTGCTCCAATAGGTATCTTTGACTTCATGCCCTTGAGAGCTGTCTTCTTGATCCCACGGTTATTCCACAATATACAGAAAGTCAGATGGATCTTGGATTATTTTATGATAGTAAAAACAAAACTAGACAAAGAATTATATAGTTTTCACAAGGATTTTTTTATATTAAACTCACCTCTCCCTTCCCCAAACTCAACCTAAGTGGTCTATCTCAAACTACTGGATCTGTTGCCTGCCTTGTTGGTAAACATATTTTTCATTAGTATAGAAAAATGTTTTAAGGCGTTCTTTTTTTTTTCACATGGGATAACCAATTAAAGTGTTCTTTTCATTGTTATTGTCAGTTATAAGGATCGAGTAAAAGAACAGACTTACTGTATATACTCGAGTACAAGCCGACCTGAATATCAGCCAAGGCACCTAATTTTACCACAAAAACTTCATTAAAAATGTGCTGAAAAACACGGCTTATACACGAGCATATATGGTATTTAAAATTATATACAAAAGTAGCTACGCATACCAGCTCCAAAAATCTTGAAGCTTTGTTCCCTGCTTTGTCATTTAACAGTCTCTTGGGAGTATCTTTTATCCAGTACAAAACCATCAGGCTTCTGGTTAATATGTATAATAAAAACCATCTTGGCTGCCATATTTTGGCTATTTTCATTATTTAAAAATATGCTTGCTAACATTTAACTTGCCTGTACAGGTACACACAATAAAAAGGAGAGCAAATTCATAATGGACAATCCTGGCAGGATCTGGTGCTCCAAGAACATAGAGGAATGAATACTGATCATTTCTTCCTGACTCATGTTCTGATGATGACGCAGAGCTGCAAGGTGGTGGTCCATAACCATCATATATATCATTAGCCCCATTACAGGAATACAGAAAAACAGGCTCACTAGAAAGGACCGTCTCCACCTAACAGAGAAAAAATAAGACAAAAAGAATCCTTTGAGTTGTGACCACTCTATCAATATAAAGATAGTATTTCAAAAACCTAGGTAGCAAGTAAATTTTAAGTAGGAGTCCAAATCTGTTTTTTCAGATGCAGATTTAACAAGGTAAGCAAGTGGCCATCTAGCAGGGAAACAACAAAGCCCACAGGGAAGAAGCACACCAGCCTGTGTGATCACGAGGTATGGTCAGGAATAGGTGTCAGAAGTTCAAAAACAAGCAATCAGAATGACATGAAAGAGCGCAGACAAAGTGGAGACCCCAAACCCACCTGTAAGATAATTGGATAGCCCCGCACAAAAGGGCCACACAGAAGGGATGATATAGCACTGACGAAACACATGATGATGACTGTATAACCCCACCCGAGAGGAATGAATAACAGAATTGTAGGTAAATGGATACACTGGATGGTGTAAGATATTGCCCAAATAATAATATATAATAATAAGGGTTCCTGGGGGGTAGGGTGGGGGAGGGAGGGGATAAAGAGGAACTGATATCAATGAGTTCAAGAAAATATTTTGAAAATTACGGTGGCAGCAATTGTACAATTATGATTTATCTAATTGAATTGTGGGCTTTTATAATATCTGCAAGAGCTCCCGATAAAATTATCTTTAAAAATTTTAAATACATAGCTTTGGGGAAAAAATCCGTTTGGGGGAGGATACACCTTCGTATATACTTTTATTTTGTTTTAGTTAGGAATGAACAGCAAAACATACCAATTCAATCGTTTCTACATGTACCATTTAGTGTTACGGAATACATTCTTTGAGCTGTTTAACAATTCTCACCTTCCTTTTCTTAGTTACTCCTCCCGATGAACATAAATCCACGCTCCCTAAGGTTCTTATCTAATCTTTCCAGTTGCTGTTATCAATTTGATCCCACAGCCCTTAAAAAAGCATAATGTTCAAGGCAGACGATTTTACCAGTGAAGCTAAACTCCATGGAATAATTTTGGTTTAAGGGTTAAAGATGAACTTAGGGCAATAGTTACAAGGGTTCATCCAGCCTTCACAGTTCAAAGAATTTGAAATCCTCTTTTCATTTTCCTCCATTTGATCAGGGCCCTTTTAGGAGCTCTTTGATTACAAGTTCAGTGATGGCAGCAGAGTATCATTTTTGATTACTAAGTCCATCTCTTCACTTGGGACAGGTCTGTTGAGATGCACCATTTCTTCTAGAGTCAATGGAGAAAGTTTCTGCATTTGAAGGAATTTGTCCATTGGTTCTAAGGTAACTAATTTGAAGAAATACAACTGTTCATAGTATTCCTTTACAATCCCTTTTTGTTCTGTAGGATCAAATGCAATGTCCCTAATTTAATTCCAGTTTTAGATCATTGCATTTTTTAAAATTATTTCATTTCTGAGTCTAACAAAAGCTTTGTCTTTCCAAAACACCAACTTCTGGTTTCTCTGATTCTACTCTTGCCTGTGCTCTATTTCATTTATTTCCACTACAATCTTTATCATTTTCTTTTTTCTGGTAACTTTATGCTGAATTTGCGTTTCCTTTTCTAGTTCTCTAGTTCCTTTTCTTACATTAGTAATTTGAGATTTTTTTCTGTTTTTGAATGTAGGCATATATTGCTGTAATGTTCTCTCTGAGTATTGCATTTGCTGAATACCATAAGTTTGGGTATATTGTGTTTTCATCCTCATTTCACTTTAAGTATATATTTTTTATTTCTCTCTTGACATGTTTTCGTAAAATCTGCTTTGTAAGTAACACTCTAAAAGTACTTACTGTCTTATTTCTCGTTTATGGTCTAGGTGACTTGCTGATCGATCCTTCTTGACCAAAGAAGCTTCAAAACCTAAGCTCTAAATAAGAAATTCATGAGAAAAGAAAATTCACTTAGTGTATAAATATTAAGCAGAGAAATTCCAAACCATGGTATTGTTATTAGGAAAAATTCAGTTGAATTATTGAATGTACCTAACTCTGGAAGGCATGAAGATGAAGATGCAATTCTTGTTCTTATCTGTTTCTAATGTTTCACTTAAAAAATGATATTTTCTCAACCATAATTAATGTCTTTCTCACTCTTCTTAAATAATACCTCAACTGCAGTGATCCTCAGTAGTTTCTAATTATAATAAAAAGTAACTAGAAAAGTTTCAGTGATGCTTCTAGACTAAAATAGACTAAGAAGAGAGACCTGGTAATTTACTTCTAAAAATCACCCAATGAAAGCTCTTTGGATCGCACTAAAATGTTGTTTGATATACTGCTGGAAGATATGTGCCCTAGACAACACCGGACTCCAGCATGCCAGAAATCATGAGGCTGACACATGACCAGGCAGCGTTTAAATCTGCTGTACAATTGGGCTTCAAAGAGTTCATAGAAAAATTCTATTTTTTTTAACATTTTATTAGGGGCTCATACAAAATTCTATTATTTTTAATTCCACTTTTCCATTAACTTTTTAAAGCACCACATACATGAAGTCACAACTCATAGCAACTAACAACATATATGCATTAAAACCTTCAATTTAATCTTGATAAACCAATATAAAAAGCTCCTACTAGCGTTACTGGTACTAATAATTTTTTTCTCCAGTGACAGAATTTATACAACTTTACTATATTTCTTTGACAGAAAAAATGAAAAGTACAAATTAACAAGCATTTGTTACTTTAAATCATGAAAAAAAAATGATGGTCTCAGAAAGATGGCCTCTATAAGCCACCTCAGGTATTATAAATTTGACAGACAGGTGGTGGAACACATATATAGTTATTTATTAACTTTTAAGTTTCACTTATCAGTCAAAATCTATCTAGTGTGATACAAGCATACAATGAATACCATACTGCAATGAGAAGGAATAAACTATAAGTTCATGCAACAGCACGGAAAAACCTCACAAATATAATATTTATCAATAGATGCCCGATAAAAGAATATACATGGTAGGATTCCCTTTAAATGAAGTTCAAACACAGGCTAAACTAATCTATGCTGTTTAAAGTCAGGGATAGTGGTTATCTTTGGGTGTATGATGGCAGGGAAATGATATAAAAGGGCTTTTAGGTTGCTAATAATTTTGATCTGGGTATGTTCAGTTTGTGGAAATTCAGAGATTTGTACATTTATGACTTATGTAGTTTTTTGTATATACATAAATGTTACACTTTAAACAAGGATCTACACATAACCTTCTCCCTGGGGGATGGGCAACAGAAAAGTGGGTGAAGGGAGACGGCGGACAGTGTAAGACATGACAAAATAATAATAATTTATAAATTATCAAGGGTTCGTGAGGGAGGGGGGAAGGGAAAAATGAAGAGCTGATACCAAGGGCTGAAGTAGAAAGCAAATGTTTTAAGAATGATGAGGGAAACAAATGTACAAATGTGCTTGACACAATGGATGTATGTATAGATTGTGATAAGAGTTGTATGAGCCCCCAATAAAATGAAAAAAGAGATAAAACTCTTTTGAGAATGATGAGGGCAACAAATGTACAACTGTGCAAATGTGCTTGACATGCAATGGATGGATGTATGGATTGTGATAAGAGTTGTATGAGCCCCCAATAAAATGATTAATGAAAAATAACTAGATGTGTGCATCAAAGGACTTTATCCAAAGAATAGAGAGTCAACCTACCGAACAAGATAAGCTATTTGGGAATCATATATATTATAAGGGTTTAATATCTAGAGGAAAAATATATATACACCCCTCCTACAACTCAAGGACAAGGAGACAAGCAATCCAACCCAAAAACAAAGGGGGAGATTTGAAAGGTATTTCACCAAAGAAGATATCTGGCAAATAAATACATGAAAAGCTATCCAACAACATTAATCAATAAACCAAAATGAAACTCACTGCCATCAAGTTAAGGCTGACTCATAGTGATTCTACAGGACAGAATATAACTGCCCTTGTGGGTTTTTGAGATTGTATCTTTTTACAGAGGTACAAAGGCTCATCATGCTCCTGTGGAGTGGCTGGTGGTTTTGAACTGCTGACCTTGTGGTGCTACTTCTAAGGCTACTAAGGTGGCAAGAATTCGAAAAATGGAAAATAAGTGTTGATTATATTGCAAAATGGAAACCCTCATGTTCGATTGGTAAGAGTGTAAAATGGTGGTGCTGCTGGGGAAACCAGTGTGGCTCCTGAAACAGCTGAACAGAATGACCATATTCCCTGGTAATTCCCCTCCTGGTGACACACCCAAGAGAACTGAAAGAAGAGGTTGAAAGAGACACGTGTCCATTATTCACAATCCAGAAACAAGCCAGTGTAGGATAACAGATGACTGGATTAACATGATGTTGAATATACATAGATCATAAAGAGAAATGAAGTTCTGATACATGGATAAACTTGGTTCATTTTTGATAAATAAAGCAGGTTAAATAAAAATGAAAAATACTGAGTAATCCCACTTATGTAAAATATCTGGAATAGGAAAATATAGAGAGATCAAAGTATATTCGTGGAAACCTGGAGTAGGTGGGAGGGGAAAGTGAGAAGATATTGCTTAAGGTATAATGAGTTTCTGTCAAGGGTTATTTTGAAACAGATAGTGGCGATAGCAACATAAAGAATAAAGGCATTCCCATCAAATTTTAAGACAGCACTTGCCTTTTTAGGTCAGATATTTTCCACTATATCTTATGCAAAAGAGAAGATATTCAAGAGTACATTGATTGAGTAGGGAAGGATAGAAAATGCAGTCGTGGCACTTACTTCAATTGTATGGATAATATCTCTGGGACCAATAATTTCTGGGTCATATTTAATGTGTGCCTTGTTGGTTGCCAAAGCAACAGAGCAGTAGAAAATCCCTCTGTGTTTTGTGAGGGTAGATTCTATTTTATGCACACATGAAGCACAAGTCATCCCTCTCACCTATGAAAGACAAAGGCTTGGTTATTCTGAAATATACTTTTATCACCATTAAGCATGAGCAGAATTATTACTATTAACCAAAAGGACATCCATAACACAAGATTACCACATAGGATCATATCTGAACCCTTAACATGATTTCAACACGACATGATCATTAGAATACCATTTTTATAGCACATTCAGCAAAGTCCTGGCCCCAGCTGTAACAGGCTTGATAATTTCAGGATCTCATTGTGCAAGTCCTACTTTCTCTGTCACTACTCCTCAGTGATACAGAAGTTAACATCTAGCATTGTTTCTTATACCAATGCCTTCTTTCCCTCCGTGTATTTTTCATCCAGTTTTTAGTATTACTTTTGGTGAGGATAATGAGCAGTGTCTTAGAGATTTAGTGCTGCTAAAATAGATTGGATTTCATTTTTAATAAAATCCAGGTGAATGGATTTAACACAGAGAAATTTACTTTCTCACGGTTTAAAACGCTGTTTGAATGAAGGGTACCAGCTCGACTGGAAGCTGTATTCTCTATGTTCGTTCTAGGTTAAGGTTCTTTGATCTTTGGCTTCTGTTTCCTAGTTCCTTGAAGATATCCATGTGACTTGGCATCTACCTTCCTCCATCTCTGCTTTCTCAATTGCTGGTTTAGTAGTCTCTTTAATATCTCAAAAGAGACTGCCATAAGACACACCGTACTAACCCTGCCTTATTAACATAACAAATACAACTCATTCCATACAACTCATTCCCAAATTGGATTATAATCTCAGGTAATAGAGGTTAGGATTTACAACACATATAGGGGGGGGGAGGGCACAATTCAATCCACACAGGCAGCAAAAGTATTTTGTATTCGCATGCTGAAAAAAATGTATTTTGCCTGTATCTTGAGTAAATTTGTATTTTAGTTGGGTGTTAAATTCTAAGTTGACAGAGCAGAATTTCTTTAATGATAGTGCAAAGAACTCAAATCCTTTTCCAAAAAACAATAGCAAAACTTCACAGAATTGTCTAACCAACTAGTGAAAGACATTGTAAACTAACAAAAGAGAATCTACATATTAAGAAATACTTATCCAAAGGCATCTAGTGAGGGAATTCCTCATAAAAGACCTCTGAAAATTTTCTTCATAAAAGCAACGAAAAACTAGCAAAAGTAGTAAAAAATAATTTTTTTATTTAGTTTGAAGTTAAAAGGGTCATAGCAGAACAGAAAGTATGTACTAAGAAAAACAACTGAATATCAACAAAAATGTTGTTGTACCGTACTATATTCGCATTCCTTTCTTTTCAGGTCCACAGTAGCTTTTGAAGTCAATAACCCACATGATGGGACCACTCCTGCCGGCTGACTGTTGAGGACAAAGTCCAGCGACAGATGGCCCGACTTCAAAGAAGTCGGACTGTAGGAATTGGTTGC